TATTTTTTTTTTAGTATAACTGAACATTTACTTCTTTTACCATCTTTACAATCTGCGATGATTTTCCCATACAATATTAACCAATTTGTAGAGAAAAAATATATAATCGAAAGAATCTCAAGGAATTCATTTTCGAATAATCACCATGGAGAATTAAAAAAAGTTGCTTCATTTTATCAGATTTTCAAATGTATAACCAACTTTGAGAAGCTAGTCTAATTTATCACCAAGAATTTGTTAGCTCAGGTTTAACAATATTGTACTAACAAGTTGAGAGTATTATTATTGCCAACATTTTGGAATGCCTTTTATTCTTCCTCCATCAATAATATATTCCTATTGTAAGATTGAAAAAGTATGTATATTAATAAAATTATAAATAGCACCATTTATGGTTTTTGAACAAATAATAACATAAATAGATGATCATTAAGACGCAGCTACACCACAAAATAATAAAAACTAAAAATATCACTGTTAAACTAAAAAAATAAATCATAATGGTTTGTACTTGGCACTAACGTATTTGGCAGAAAAGCGTTACTGGCTTCAGTGTTCCACCACACCATTGAGTACTCGGAAATGGCATAGTGTTTAGTGCTAAGGAAACATTTTTTGTATATTATTTTGATTGTTTAACAAGCCTATTTTTTCTCTCTTTTTTTTCACGGAACGGCCATAGAGACCACGCGAATATCATGACATTTGGCTTCTTTCTTGTTTTTCCTTTCTTTCCACTTCTCTCTCATTATCTCCGCATGCCGCCGCTTTCTCTCCTCCGTCCACGCGACTCCCTTTCTCGAACTTTTCTTTTTAACAAGAACCGTGATCTCCTTTAGTCTCTTACCATATCCCTCTCTGTCCAGACAGTCCTGCTCCGTTATTCCAAGTCTTTCCGTTTCTTCCTTCATCTGCCTGATGTATCCTCCCAAGCTTTTGTATCTACGGATTTTTGGAATATTTCCTTTTTAAGTCTTTCTGGGGCCATTCTTACCATATGTCCGTGGAATATCAGTCTCCTGATCCTTATTTACGTTTCTAGATCTCTTGTGTCCTTGTATATTTCCTGATTGGATCTTAGCCTGTATCATTCTTTTGTCTTTTTGGGGCCGTAAATCCTTCTTAAAATTCTTCGCTCTATTCTCAACAATTTTTCCAGATTGGGGAGGCATGTGGTTTCCGTCCCGTATAGTATCACAGATTTAACAACTGTATTGTAGTGTCGTATTTTTGCTTCCGTGGACAGGTTTCTCTTGTTGTATATGTTACTGGTTGCTAAAGTTAGTTTTTCCAATTTGGATATTCTTTCCTTGATACTTTCTTTTTCCGAATCATTATTACATATAGTCTCACCCAGGTACTTAAATTTATTTGTTACATTTATTGACGCGTATTTGGTTTCCACTGTTTTCTTCTTGAAGTCTGCGTCTGTGGTCATTATTTTGTTTTTTCGTAGGAGATTTGGAGACCCGCTTTTTTGGCAATTTCTGTCAGTGTATTTATTTGGTCGATTGCCTCTTCTTCCGTTTCCACTAAAAGTGCAAGATCGTCTTCGTAGGCAAGACACTTTATCTTGACGTGGTTGTTTTTGGTCCCTATAATTGCACCCACATCATTGGTTTTCCACAATTCCTTCATTATCCTACCTAGTACCACGTTGAACAGTGTTGGGGAGAGACCGTCTCCTTGTCTTAGTCCCGTCCTTATCCGGAAAGATTTGCTGGTGGTTCCTCTGAATCTTACCTTGGATTCGGTGTCAGTTAGTGTTAATTCTATTAGTTTCCTGGTCTTCTGGTCCACTCCGTATTCTCTCAGTATTTCCAGTAGTGTCTTTCTATCCACTGAGTCCTACGCTTTTTTAAAATCAACAAACGAGATGTAAAGGTTCTTTTTGGGCCTTGTTTTGTAGTATTTTAACAATAATTTTAGGCTCAGTATTTGTTCTTGACATGATCTTCCCTTTCTGAAGCCTCCCTGATATTCTCCGATTTTAGGGTCTATTTGTGGGTTTAGTCTGTTGAGTAGTGCTTTGGAGAAAATTTTGTAGCTGACGGGTAGTAGGGAAATTCCTCTGTAGTTGTCAGCTTCTGTTTTTGTTCCTTTCTTATGCAGTGGATGTATCAAGGCGGTTTTCCATTCTCTGGGGATTTCCTCCTCTATCCAGATGTCCATCGTCAATTCTGTGATCTTCTTCCTGAATTCATCACTTTCCACACCACTTCGTTACTTTCCACATTTCCGCCAATACTCCATCCTCTCCAGATGCTTTATTGTTTTTAAGTCCCGCGATTATTTCTTCTATTTCTTCCTCGTCGGGTGGGTCCGATTCCATCTCCACAGGTGTTGTCATGTGGAGTCATTCTCTGTTTGGGCTCCTCGCTGTTCAGCAGTTTTTCGAAATAATCCGCCAGTATATTGCAATTTTCCTCGTTTGTTTGTGCCAGTGTTCCGTCTTTTCTTTTTAGCACTATTCCTGGGGGGATGTAGCCTTTGACTCTTTGATTAAAAGCCTTGTAGAATAGTCTAGTATCATTTCGTCTAAAACATTCTTCCAGCTGCCTGTTGAGGAATTCTCTCTTTTTCCTTCTTAGTATTTGGTGCGTAATTTTTCTTTCGATTATATAATTTTGATAGTTCTCGACTGTTTTGTTTTCGTTCCAGCTTTTCCTTACTGCATCTTCGCACTCTATGTCCCACCATTCTATTCTTTTCTATATTTCTAGCGGTGCTATTTCTTCCGCCAGGTCCGTCATGTTCTAACCGCTTCTTCCCAGTTTTGTGGTGTTTTTAACCTTTCTCTGTATTCCTGTTTTTTGTCTCTTACCAGGATTCGTCTATCTATTTGCTTTTTCTTGGGTTTTTTTGTGTGTTGAATCGTTTTTGCTGGTACCAATTTTATCTTTATTTGTAAGGGGAAGTGGTCAGATGTTACATTGATTGCTCTTTTTACTCTGACATTCTGTCAGAATCATCACATCATGGGCCATATTTAATGTAGGATTCCTAAGGGCATCTATTACGACTTTGTGGAGTCATTAATAAGAATTTTTGTAAGCTAGAGACGTATTTTCATCGACTTAGAATCAAAAAGAAAAACTTAAAATATACTAACTATATGTTCAATGGACTAGTTTTTGAGACATAATCCATTATTTTATCAAATTAATAAGGTGTTCAGTAAAATTTATAAGACCAAATAAAGCCTTGCTGTGATGTGTTACAAAGTATTTTTTTAAAATTATGTGTAGATGTATGTTTTATACATTACGCTCCAGAAATATAAGCAACTGGTTTTAAAAATCATTCATGAGTCTGGGATATTTTATTATCAGAAAAAGCTATTATTGGGGAAATAAAAATCCCCATGTCACATAAAGCGCATCAATACCAATTTAAAGTAATAACGCATCAATTAACGGTTCTAAATTTTAAAAAAATCTAGTACGGTGGGTACATCACACAACTTTCATTTACCACTCTTCTTAACAGAAATAAGTATTTAAAGTGAAAGTAAGAATTAAAGAAGATAAGAAACATTATTTAAAACAATTAATTACTATATGTTTTTCATAACCCTTTTCCGACTGTATATTTCCATTATTTATTTGATTATAATAAATTAAGTGTGACGAATTTCTTTCATATTTTATATTTAACTGTTTTTTATATAAGAGGTTAATGTGAAATGGTTAATTACTTTAAATAAAAGCAATAAAAAAGTACTTTAGAGGTAGACATTTTGAAAAAATCGGCATTTAAGCCCGGTCAGGTTACATCGATGAGGATAAAACCTAACTTAAATAAAAAAACACTTAATAACTAAGTGAGTTGATTCAAAATCGTTAGAGCCGTTTTTGAGAAAATCGTAAAAATGGATTAATTCAATGATATAAAGTACCACTTCCAGTTTTCCGATTTTGACGAAAATAATGCAGTAGAATCCCAGGCATATAAAAACCTTTTATTGTGTATTTATACACAATTTCAGTTTCGTACGACTTTTCGTTTTTGAGCTAGGCTGTTCACATACATACACACACACACAGAACATTTTGCGGGAGTTGGTTATTTGGACTCAGGGGACCACAAAACGTGTATTTCCATTGAAAACTGAGATTCGAAAATTTTCACGATCGCAATAGTTACCCTTACTATTTATTACATATATAGGTAAATTAAAGTAATAATATAAATAAATAAAGCCTTACAATTGCAATTTTTTTTTCATACAAACGTAAATATTAGGATTAAAAACATTTCGTTTGTTATTTAATACTATAAGAATCAATTTGCAGAATAGAGATGTGTGTAAAAAACAATTGTTCATTAATCATCTTAAATCATTTTTTTAAAAGCTTTATTTTTAACATATTTTTTGAATGAATAAAAATTATATTTTCATAATTAATTTATCACAATAGATGCCAGGTCACAAGAAAAAAAAGGGAATTAAAAATTTTTGGATTTGGATTAAAAAATTTGGATGATAAAAAAAAAATAGAAATAATCCATAATTTAATGAAAAACAACTTAGTGCAGTTTAGGCGTTCAAATGGTTTTGACCATGACAAAATCTAGTTTTATTTGAAAGACATTTTGACTAATTTACTATGAATCAATAGTTAATTGCTTACATATAATTTTTGCGTTATTGCTTCCTATAATAGAGAAAACGTTACCATCGTAAGAAAACACAAAATTGGAGTTAAATCTTTTTCTGTTAGGAATTGGATCGTGAATAAAATAAACTTTTTTGTTAGAAATTTCATCTATAATCATCTCCTAGAGTTCGGTAATTAAGAACTAGATCACCCTGTATAAATTTATACATCAAAATATCTAATAACAGAAGTACACAAAAAGTAATGTAGGGAAGTGAGTCTAAGCATGTGCAGGTAATTACATTAAATCTGAAATAATGTTAATAAAACTTTAATTAATTGCAGTACATTACCAATTATATTCTACAAATTATAATATATATATGTAAATTAAAATTATACATCTTATGTATTATTTCTATTTATGCCATTTAAAACTATATCCAATCAGATAAATGAAGATCACCATCACTATTAGCAAATAAAAGCGCAATTTTGCCACTCATTTTTGGGCCCAGTCGTTTTGCAACACCTCCTCTACCAACCTGTAAAAAAATTTTTATTTAAATTGAAGCTAGTTAAACATTATTCATTAGTCCAGTCAAAATAAAAATGATTGTATTAAGTCATATAGTTTCAAAAGTTTCAGGAATGTGGTAGGAGAAGGTGTCCTGAACAACATTTAATAAAATCCTATTAACCTCAGGTACACAAACTCCTGAAAAATCCCAAGAAATTTCAAATTAGGGTGTACAAAGCTATGATAAAGCCAATTCTGGTATATCGCTACGAGACCTGGACACCAATTAGCACCCTAGAGAGAAGTATTGAGATTCACCTCAAATTGTGTAAAAAAAAAATATGTGATTTTTTAAACTGTTCTCTAAAAGTACCCGTGTTTTCAGCAAAAATTACTACAAACGACTGTTGCAAAGCTTTTATTTCATATTTTTCTATGATTGCATAATAATAAACACATAATTGCCTAAATAAAATTTTTGTTTACAGAACTTCTTCTTTGTCTACCTCTGATGCCATAGCGTCGAAGAGCCTCGATTCAACGCAGCCACGGCTCTCGGGCCCGGCCAAGCTGCCTTGTCTCTTGGAGAGTTTTCCCTCTCTTCCCTCCAATCAGCTGTATATACACCAAGTAGGAAATTCTGGGACAGCCTCGTAGTTTCTTCCGAGAGGGATGAGCTTCCATAACTTTCCGAGGTTCTTTTTCATCATCCATCCGACAAACCATTTCAGTTGTCGATTTTAAAGCATAGTCTTACAATCCACCACCTCCAGCTCCTTCTGTATCTGTTCATTTCTGAAACGGTCCCTTAACAACTTCGAGTACCTCTTCATTACAGATCAGCTGAACATATGGCTACGAGACCTGGACACTAAATAGCACCCTAGACAGAAGTATTGAGATTCAACTCGTCATGTAAAAAAATGATGTGATTTTTTATCATGGCCTCTAAAAGTACCCATGTTTTCAGCAAAAATTACTACAATTGATTGTTGTAAAGCTTTTAATTCATATTTTTCTATGATCTTGGATGCATCATAATAAACACATAATTGCCTAAATACACTTTTTATTTACAAAAAGAAATATTTAAAACAATGATTTTCAAACATTTTCAGCTTGTATCACACATTAAAAAGCCATGTCAACATACAAAAATACATAAATAATTAAAATATTTTTTAAAAAAATGCTCACCGAAATGTCTTGAAGAAGGTCTTGTTTTTCCTTAATAGTAGACAAGTTTTTATAGGTCTGTAAACAAAACAAAACAAAAAGTTGGCTTACAGAGGATTTCAAAATAACTGTGCCACTTACACTGTAATCTAAAAGCCCAAACATTTCTAAATAAACATACATTAAATACTCATAATGAATCTGATGCAACACATGACTTAACGAAATACCCCCAATTGTTTTTCATCCTATATTAGTGAAACCAAAAATCTTCTAAAAGACCTTATCACCCAACATAAATATTCTGTATCCTCTCGTAATTTTACCACCTCCAAATTATCCGAACATTCTCTCTCCCTTCATCATACATTTGATTTTGACAAAACTTCCCTCCTTGCCTCCATCCTTAACCATGACAAACGACTCATTTCTGAAACCCTCCACATCCAGCTCCAACCAAAGACAGTGAATCTAGAAACAGACAAACAAAATTTATCCTTAGCCTATTTCCAAATTCTGAATTTATTAAAACATCCATAGCAATATCCTTTTCCTTTTCGCTGACAACTTCCTTAATTCTTTGTGTGTGTATAAATATATACATATATATATATATATATATATATATATATATATATATATATATATGATCTGTATTAATTTCAAATATTCTCCATTATTACTTATCACTTTTTTATCTCTGTTTTATTCCTTCTCCAGATTATTTCCATCCTCCTTCAATTAAACTTTTGTTTAATTATTCATAGTATTTATGAGTAATATATCTCTCGTCAATTATTTATGCTTCCTGTAATTTGGTTCATACTTTGTCAATTAACGGTCAGAGATGACACACCATACATCTCCCCCCTCACTTGCTACCATACCTTCACTTTGTTCCTGTCAGCTACTGGAGAAGGTTGGTTTTTATTTCTTTTTTCAGTTTTCTCTTCTTTTCCTCCTTCCTTTCATTCCTTTGCTCTGTTTTAATTTTTTACTCTATTATACATTGTCAGTGCATTTTGATAGACTTTACAATATCTCAATTTTCTATCTAATTTTTATATTTTTCAATACTTTAATTTTACTATTTATTTTCATTTCTTATATAACTTCATATTCCTTTTTTCTGTTTTACATTTTATTCTAAGATTACCATTTTAATACTTATGTCACCTTTTTTGATTATGTTTACTTCATCATTCTACACTTTGTAACAGTTATTATTATTCATCTCTTAGTTCTTACTATTGTCATTATTCTACCCACTTCATTTTACTTTAATTTTTTTACCTACATTATTTATGTTTCTCATACCTTGTTATCTGGTTCTTTTCTTAGCCCTGATGAAGGCCAGAACTTCAGGTCGAAACGTCAAAATAAATATTATTATTTATTTTTGCCTTCTTATTTGTCACTGATCATCCCAACCATTCTTCTCTTCATTAACAAAAATACATTTAGGAGTAATAATAATATGTATGAGTTGGTCAAGTATTAGATTTCTTGGACACCTTAGGGTTCTTAGCAAAATGAAAGTTTGGAACAGTTAATTAAATAAAGATTCTATATATCTACCTATAAAATCAAAATAACAGTATTGAAACATTTTTAAATAATGATTAACTTTTCTGTTAAGCAGATTTTACCTGACCAATGTTTAATTAATTTTAAATAATTACACTAACTACTTTATTTAGTCCCTGTAAACCACTTAAACAATTACCATTAGTGCTTTCAAATGTGATGTAAATTCCTGGACAAAATTAATGCATCACTTTATATATGAAAAATTTAACCTAATCTTTAGTTTCTAAAAGTATAATTGAAGGTCATAATAATTAGAATATGAGTATAGATCAAACAGAACATGAGTAATTCCTGTTTTATTTATTTTTATCTCTATTTAATCATTTTAATGCCAAAGTTGGCATCAGGAGATTTTTTATTATCAATCTTAATTGGGTCTTTTTCATAAATGATGGATCTTTTCCGTTATAGCAGTATTATTGAATCTAAGAGACTCATTTATGATAATCAAAGTACAATAAACCCTTTTTGTGGTCCTCCTTTCACTAAAACTCCTAAAAGAAGCAGACTTACATTTACTTATAACACATCCATTAGAGTTTAGAAGCCTGGAAGTGTTTTCTTTTTACTAGATGTGAGAGCAGGTTATAGATCACCATAAGCCCATATTTTAATTTTTGACACCTTAATGAACTCTATACTCAATATTATATTACCCCAAAAATTTTATTTCAAGGAGATTTAAGCATGTCCTGGGGTGATATTTCTTCTGATCCTCATATGGAATTAGTGTTTGTGCAGAACGTGTCCTTAAATGCTTAGAGGTATGTAGCATTTCTAGAAGATCATTACCATATGCCATTTATTCACTACCTTAGAAACAGTTTCTTACTGAAGCATAAAAATAAACGATCACACAAAATTCAGAGAATATTTAACTTTCTCTAGGATGTTAGTATCCCTGGAGTCTAGGATATTCCTGGAGTGGCCATTGAAAAATCTAAACCACAATTCAATAACACATGTTTGGGTATAGTTCAAGCTACATATGTGAAACCAGAATTCCATTTCAAATACACTCGAGAAGGTTGTAGGTCTAGGTTGTAGAAGGTAGAAGGTACAACAGTTGTAGAAGAGTGGTTCAATACATTCTTCCTTCTTCCAAATTGTTTGTATTAGTTGTAATAGTTTAGGTATTAGGTGTCATCCTCCTCCCTTATCTCAATACAGCTATGCTGTCAAATATCAAACAGTTTTCCATCCCTGGATTTATTTTAATAAATATTTATATATAACTTGTTTAAGTATGGATACTGGAATAACATTTTATTAGTAATAATTAGAAATCGGATTTTCATGTTATTGCACATTTTTTTCACGTAGGTGTAAAAACTTTAAACCTGACAATCTATCCATTTCTCATTCTGTATGAACAGCCAGAAGAGGACAGCAGGGAAAGTAGGCCAATTGAGAAGAAATAGAAAGTTGTAAAGGAGGCTATAGGCAAGGCAGCAGATGAGACATTGAAAAAGTTCACAAATGGAAGAAATGAAGAATATGCGAAAGCCATTGAAGAGAAAAATCAAGCCAGACAGAAGATGTTATAGAGGTTCACAAGGCAAAACCAGGAGACTTACAGTATGAAAAGAAGAGCAGCTAAAAAAGTCATAGTGATGAAAAGAGAAAAATGAATAGTAAAAGGCTTGAAAATATAGAAATATTAAACGGCGCATGAATGGGTATTGATTGGTTTAGGAAAGAGTAGCAGCCGAAGCTGAATAATTGTAAAAGTAAAAAAGGAGGGGCTTTGAGTGGGGAATGAGAGATGATGAACAAGTGGACCGAGCACTTCTGAGAGTTGCTGAACATTGGTCTGGAGGAAGAGGATATTAAGAATGAAGAAGAGTGTCAGGTGTGGCAACCATTACCAATCGTTGATGAGCCTGGCAGAGAGGATATCGAGTTTGCCACCATGGACTTGAAGAACTGTAAAGCCCCTGGTGAGGACAGGATAGTAGTAGAATTGATTAAATAAATGCTGCAGTGGTAAAATGAAGGTGCTAATATATGAGTTGATTTGGGACGTGTGTAGAGAGGAAAAGATGTCGGATGATTGGAGAATTTGATTAATATGCCCTATTCTTATAAAAACAGCAAGGATCTATGCAAAAATTATAGAGGAATAACCCTATTGGAGTCCTATATAAGCTCCTTTCTAGTTTGATATTAAAGAGGATGTGAAAATATGCTGAGGAAATTTCAGATGATTACCAATGTGGGTTTAGAGTTGCCCGAGGTACTACAGATCAAATTTTTGTTATAAATGATGGGAAAATGCTATTAATATGATGTTTATCTTATTATTCGTTGGCTACAAGCAGGCATTTGATAGCATCAAGAGATCAGCACTGTTAAGAATGCTAATGAAAAATGGAGTGCCACATAAATTAATTAATTTAATATGCATGTCCATGGAAAATGCATCATCCAAAGTTATTATTGGAAATAAATTTGGTCGATTGTTCAAGGTAAAATCTGGAGTGCATCAAGGAGATGTCTTATTAGCAATGCTATTCAACATAGCTCTGCATGCTGCTGTGAAAGATGCAGCTAAAAAAGGCACTGTTATTGATAAGACCTGGCAAATTTGCGCTTACACTGATGACCTGGTGATTGCTGCACCAAGTGAAAAGGCACTTAAAGAGGCATTTGAGATAAGATACAAAAATGCCAACAAAGTAGGGCTTGTGGTCAATTAAAACAAAACTAAATACTTAAAACTGTCCTCAGCAACAAGTAGAAGATCCTGCAATGAAATCAAAATAAGGAATTTTAGAGGAAGGAGATAGAAATAGGGGTCCCCAAGTAATAGGGGTGGCAATCATAAAAATACTAAAATATTGGAAAAACTATTTTATTTTTATTATCCTCCAAAACCTTTAGAGCAACTAGTTCAAACCCAGTTATCCGACTTTTTAAAACAGAATAACCTCCTAAATCCCAACCAGTCTGGTTTCCGACCTGGCTACCACTCAATCTGCCCTCATCAAAATTTCCCAAGACATTCATACAGCCATGGACCAGCAGAAACTCACCTAATTCTCCTTGACTATAAAATTTCCTGCTTTAATGCATCCTTTAATATTTCTTTATTTTCAAGCGTTTTACTGTTCATTTTTCTCTTTTCATCACAACGACTTTTTTAGCTGCTCTTCTTTTCATACTGTAAGTCTTCTGGTTTTGCCTTGTGAACCTCTATAACATGTTCTGTCTGGTTTGATTTTTCACTTCAATGGCTTTCGCATATTCTTTATTTCTTCCATTTGTGATTTTTTTTCAATGTCTCCTCTGCTGCCTTGCCTATAGCCTCCTCCTTTCTAACTTTCTATCTCTTCTGAACTGGCCTACTTTCCCTGCTTTCCTCTTCTGGCTGTTCATTCAGAATGAGAAATTAATAGATTGTCGGTTTTAAAGTTTTTACATCTACGTGAAAAAAATGTGCAATAACATGAAAATACGATCTCTAATTATTACTAATAAAATGGTATTCCAGTATCCATACTTAAACAAGTTATATATAAATATTTATTAAATATCATTGAATGAAGAGATTTTTTTGGTCTTCAAAGTAATTAGGAAGTTACATCACCTTCAAAGGCTTCATCGTAGTAATAGCAATGTTACTACGAAGCAATTAATCATGCTTCCTTAGCCCTTTAACGACGATGGACTCATATAAGTCGAGATGAAATTAGGCCCAGTTAGGCCCAGGCAACGTTGGACTCATATATGAGTTGAGACTCTGTTGGGCTCTTTCTCATTAAACGATGGGGTGCTAAGTGATCAATTCTATTTTCAAACTATCTCGTGACCTTCCCTTGAGCCAGTAGGTAATTTTTCTATGAGTGGAAGTTATGGGCATTTATGAAAGATGCCTTAAATAAAAAATTGTAAGTGGTCAGTAGAAGTGATAAAAAGTATTCCGTCCTCAAGGACACTCCAACCTTCCAGCTCATTTTCACCACAAAGTAAACTAAAAACTGTTAATAAACACTAAGTTTTACATATGTTTTTTTTCTCTCTCTCACACATACAAAAATGTGTAAATAACGAAAACATTCCAAACAATTAACGTAGTTTAGAAAAATAAAATAAATATTTTTAGTAGAATTATTCTGAACTGCTACTAACAACTAAAAATAGACATACATACAAACTTTATGCTTACTAAATTTATTTATTAAAACTGAATTTATGATTACCTCATACAGACAATATGGTGTTGGATGGTGTCTACATAAAACTTTAGCACTATCAAAAGGTAATCTATGAATTGCAGCAATTTGTTGAACCCAAAGCTTTTTCATCCCTAAAATATATCAAATCATATTAAAAAAAATCTACTAACAATAAATAAATAAAATAAATTAAAAAATAAATAAATGCACAAGTGCTATTCTATCCTGGGGTTACATGAGTCTTTCAAAAGAACTAAATAACTAGAAAAAAAGCAAAACGTATGTGTTTGAATCATTTAAAAAATATATCTTTACAATTCGGCAAAGAAACGTCGGCAAATATACAAATAAATTTATTTTTTATTTTGATTGATCACCCCAACCATCATTCTCTAAAATGATTTCTGGAATAAGAGAAATTTATTCTTGGCAGTGATGAGACATGATCTTGGGACAGCACTGTGTGAGTATGGGCTCTATTTTTTTATTAACAGCAAGAACAGAGCCAACAGATTGGGAACTGATTTCAAAAAGAAGTCTAAGGAAAGCATCATGAAGTTTGAAAAAGTCAATAATAAGATATTCTATTCAGGGATCAAAGGGTGTTTTTAAAACATATAGCTGTTTTCACTTCATACTCCCACAGAAACCTCCTTAACATAATTTACAAAGTTCTGTCAACCTTGAATTATTAATATATCGTCAAGGTATAGTACAGAGTACCGTTACCAGAAGGTCTCGACAGAGTGTTGTTTAATTTAGGGCTAAGATAACAAAGTGGATGAAGGAGATGAGTATACAGGATGACCTCAAGTGTCAGGCGGATCAGCACCCAAATCACTATTGGTCTGCGGTGCAAGGGATTAACCTTAACATTCCGCAGGAACGGTAACCACAAACGGAGGGATCAATCTCCTGACTTTGTGGGATGATGAAATACTAACGGAGGGATCAACCTCCTGACTTAGCATGTGGGAGTACAAGTGGAAGGATCGACATCCAGACCTTGTATGGAGAGAGAGAATAGGATAAATAAAGGTTAAGGGAACATAATAATAGAAAAGGCAATTTAAAGAAGAACTAAAAAGAGTATATAAATCATATAGTGATAGGTAAGTTTCTTATGTCCAAAGCCAGAGGGCTAGGAGGATCATTCTTTCATGCGAAAGATGGGTAACGAGAGTCCTACCCGATTATTGTGCTCTTATTTTTTTGATCAGTTAATTTATATTCCTTCCCATATTATATCACGGTCAACCATCTCTACATCATTATATATACCTTCATCTTTATCTAATAAAATAAACATACTTTTACAATAAAAAAATATAGATTTTACAAAGTTATATATACAAAAATATATATTTAAAAATCATCTTCTGATATGAAAGTCTGGTGTTGGAGCTGTCTCGTAGCGGGCGCATGAACTATGTGCAGAGCCAATATATTAATTTTTTCATGGAAAGTGCAGTGTGCATCCACAATAGATGCATACAAGTATTGACCTACATAGACAATATACACCTGGTAGCAAGGGCACTCACTACCTGCACTTGGAGGGACATTAAACTCTGGCAGGGTATCTGTGAGGAGGTCCATGCCCTTAGATGGTAGTAGAGCCAAAATTAATTATATTAATCATTTATCAACAAATGATTAAAAGAAAAAAAACTATAACATAACCAATTCTTTTTTTTTCTGTTGGCATTACAGACCTTGTAGGTCTTTTTACACCTTAATCAGTCTTACCCATCTTTGTCAATCTTGGGTTATTTCTTTTTAGTTATCTGTATACAGCTCTATTGCATCATTTTTGATTCTGTGTGTCCATCCGGTTTTTGGCCTTCCATGTGGTCTTTTGCTTTCTATAGAGGCATTTATTGTTGTGTAGAGACTCCCATATGTATTTCTCCGAGCTACATGCCCCATTCATCTTAACCTCCTTGCTTTCATTTAAAGAGATATTGATTGACCAGTTTCTGTAAGCAGCTGTTTGCTGGTCTTTCTTCTCCATGTGTTAGTACTCCGATCCCAGATCGCTTCGATTATTATGTGAAGGATTTTTCTCTCAAATCTTTCAATACTTTTTTCTAGGGCGCTGGTATATATTAGAACTGGCTTTATCATAGTAACATAGCATTGAGGTTATTGTGATATTTGAATTTGTCTACTCTTAGAAACGATTTTTCTTCTACACATATCATGTTATTAGAGTGGAATTTTTTCGCTTATTATCATATATTTTGTATGGTTCTCTTATCAGAGTTTGAGCGAATTTCTCAATGCCCTCTTGATTACTTCCAAAGACAGATTTATTACCTGCATATCCAAGGATTTTATGATTCATTCCGAAATACACCCCTCCATTTTTGTGTGATGTTTATATCACCTTTTCCATCTCCTAGTTGAACAACATTGGTAATAGTCCATCTCCTGCCATAAGCCAGTTCGAACTTTGAAGACTTTAGATACTTCTCCTTGTATAGAGTGCAGCAACAATACTTCTTTTTTTCTTCAAAACAGAAAAAAATCTTTTTTTTTTTGTTACAACTCCTTATACTAATCTTGACAACTTTCTCATTTTCCTTTAGTTAAATTTTTGTTTTATAATCTCCAATCTTTATGTTCTTCTAATCTCATGTTTTACGTTAATATCATTAATAGTTTATTATTATTTAATATTTATGATGTCTGCGCTGTATTATCTACAGATGTCCAATTTCCATACCCATTCAATAACACATTTATTTAGTATGCACACAAAATTTATAAATAGATAGATAGATAGAAAAATTTAACTTTATTCTGAGACATAGTCCCTTTAGAATAACAAAATAGTATAAAATTAAAAGATTACATCAGGCCAGAATAAAAACAATTGAAAAAAATAAAAAATAAAAAAAAAGTGAAGGAAACATTAGGCAAATATACTATATTCAAAACAAATAAAAATATATACAAAACACTTATAACTATGTACAGTGGTAAAACAGTTTTTAAGAGAAAAATGAATAAAAACCACTTATAAATAAACAAAATTTATCTATAGTAAACCTCTCAATCATTACATACGTTTCTGCCATTTACTTCACATATTTCTGTTAACTGTTGCAGAGTGCACTAGTTATTTCCACTGTTTTTTTGGAAGGACAGAAGGTCAACCTTCTCTCAGGGATCGTTTCGTGATAGCAGGTTGGTCTTCCTTTTATCTTTTAGATTCATTTTCTCCTCATTTACCTTTTTCCTGTTACTTTTTTTCTAAATATACGTGCCACTAATTTATTTGTATTGATACATTAACTCATCACATCTTATTTTCTTTGCTTTACATAATTTTAACTTTGTAATTCTCTTCTATGTAGTCAGTATGTTTTTATAGATCTTACTGCACCTTAATTTTTCTATTTACATCTATTATTTTCTTTATACAACTTCATATTCCTTTTCTCTAGTTTACATTCTGCTCTATGTCAATCTCACTTCTTTTTAATATACTACGACTTTTATCAACTACATCACCCCATTTATTTTGTGTCAAATACTTATATTTTCTATCTATTAATATTCCATTACATTTCTTTGTTTATTCATTATGTTGTTATCGTTATTATATTATTGTTTATTTCATAAGTTCTTAAACCTGTTACCGTTATTATTTTCTAACCGTTATTTCAAAGTTCCTAACTCTGCTGATAGAAACTGGAACTTTACTGTGTCTTTTTTTTCATCTATCTCTAAGGAATATTATTTATTTATTTAATGTCTTTTATTAGTCCGAATATTCAGAGAGTGTTTCTACTCATCTTTCGTTTCTAATCATCGTGATTGTGTTTTTACTTATCTTTGCACATGAATTCCAAGATTATTTCCTTTATAATTTTTATCATATTATTGCCGTTTCGGTGACCTGGCTTAAACCTAATATTCCTTTTTCCTCCATATCCATTCCTAACCATGCCCTCATCCGAGATGAGCGAAGGTGTTGGCCTTTATGTTCATGAGAGTCTGAGGGCAAAAATCCTGCACAAATCTCCCTTCCCGACTTTCCTCACTTAGAGTATTTATTTGTGGAAATTTCCTCAAATTCCTTTTCCCTCCTTTACGTCATTACATACTGCCCACCCCATGTATAATTTGATCCTGCCTTCGAATCCTCCCTTTTTACCTACGTTCCTTTATACAACAATGTAATAATAGCTGGCGACTTTAATACCAATCTATTCTCTGACTCCCCTGATAAATCTCATACCTTATAGATCTAATCCATTCTCTTGACCTATTTATCGTTCCTTTTCAACCTTAAAAGGAAAGAACTAAAAGAAAAAGAACTCTTTTTCCTTCCTTTCACATCATGATCTCACCAAAACTTTCAATAATGTCCCTACTCATAAGTTCACTCCCAGGCATATCACATTCTTGACTCACTGTCTTCAGAAAAACTAAATCCTTTCCTCGAATCACTAGTCCAATCCTTAGATCCGATCTATTCATACTCCTCAATTGATGAAATTGTGGAGTGTCTATCCTCAAACCTTCTCCTATTCCTAAATCAGCATGCCTCCTTAAAGACCCCGATCTTCAGATACCCTGCAGCTCCCTGGATTAATTCAGAAATAAGAGAGTTGATGAAAAGAAGAGATGCAAGGAGGCGTTTCAGACAAACACGTAATCCAGATGACTACTTCTCTTTTAAGACTCTTCGAAACATTACCTAATCTTCCTTGCGACGTGCTCAGGCACAATTCTTTCATTTTTCCTTGTCACAAGCCTCAGATCCTAAGTCCAGATGGAAAAACCTCTTCGTGGTAAAATCAAAAACCTGCACCTCCTACCCTCTTTCTTCAGACCAACTGAATTACCACTTTGCCGATCCTGACTCATTACCACATTCCTCCTCATAGTGTATTCCTAAAGCTTCCTTTGACCTTGAAAATTTCAATTTAGCAGATCTACTTTCCTCTGTACTAAAATCCAGAACAAACAACTATGTCCCAAACCTAATTCCTGTGAAGTTAATCAAATTATGTCTTCCTGCCATCTTTCCTGTCCTACTGCATATTCACAATTTTTCCTTACAAAATTCCAGTTTTCCGTCACCTTGAAAAAAAGTTATTGTCCCCCCACTGAGCAAAGTTCTGATTCCCTTCAAAATTTCCGATTTCAGAACCATCTTGATTCTCTGGAATCTTTCAAAGCCTCTTGAAAGAATGGTCCACTCACAGCTTAATACCTTCCTTGAGCAAAAAGCTCTCCTCAATTCTTTCCAATCTGGTTTCCGATCCCAGTTATCCACCCAATCCACTATGCTGAAAATTTCCCAGGACCTTCATTTCTCTATGGACAAACAAAAAATCTCGATCCTAGTCCTCAAAGGCTTTCGATTCCATAAATCACGAAATCCTCCTTACCAAACTCCAAAACCTTTCCATATCAAATAGTGCTCTAAAGTGGTTTCATTCTTTTTTGTATCAAAGATACCAAACAATCATCATTCTCAATAAAACTCCTTCCTCCCCCCTCTTACTAACTCGTGGTGTTCCTCAGGGATCTTCGCTCGCCCCAACTCTTTTCTCCATCAATATGAATATTAATGACCTTTCTGATTCTATTTATCACTCACAACACCATTTATATGCGGACGATCTCTAACTATACCTTTCCTTCCATCCTAGATGCTTGAGGAGGTCCGAAGGCTACAAGAAGATATTGACAGTATTAATACCTGGGCAGCGAACAATGATTAAAAATTGAATGTTGAGAAGACCAAAGCCATTCTCATTGGATCCAAGCATCTGATTAACCTTATTTCTTATTATCCTTTACTCTACTTCAATGGGATACCCATACGTTTCCACACTTCCATAAGAAACCTTGGGGTAATGTTTGATCTACATCTGTCCTGGAATAATCACATTATCCAAAAGTCTATTGCTACCTTCAAACAGTTCCTGAGATTCCGTGACTCTATGCCCCTTAAAATCCGTCAGCTCCTAGTCTCCTTTCTCATTTTCCCTCACTTCGATTTTGGCTGCCTTGTATACGGTGGACTGTCTGGTGGGCTTGAGATTAGATTAAAGAGGCTAATGAATTGTTTCATTATATGTATCGGTTGCTATGCCGATTTGAAGTGGCTCTATCCAGACAGCAATATTTCCTAGGTGTCATTCCTTTTCCGAACCTTTACAACCAAAAAACCTTCTTACCTTCTTGATTTTTTTATTCCTTGTTCCTCTGCTCATTCGTTCAACATGAGATCCCAATCCTCAAATTTGTTTATTCCTTCTCATAGAACTGCTTCCTTTAAAAAATCCTTCGTCATACATGCTACCTCGTTTTGGAATTTCCTACCAACCTCTTTACGGAAATCCTTGACCTCATTTAAACATAATTTATTTTTTCATCTCCTCAGTAATCAATCTCCTGAATATATGTAAAATAAAGTTATTTTGTACTTTAGAGATGTCAGTTACACTATACCGATATCTTGCAGATATCTAAGTGTGTCATATTGCTTATTTGTACGTGAACTTACCTGTATGTAATCATATTTAAATTCATATGTCTACTTCAAGACCATATATTAACTACAGTGTCTTTATTTTTAATATTAAGAATTTTCAAAATTTACATGTTTCTTTATTTTAATATTAAGGTTAGACAACTTTGTAAATTAATTTATTTTTAATTGTCATTTAATTATTCACAATCGCCAGACAATTGTCATTTCTTTGTTCATTGTAGTTATTCTAAGGGGACTAAATGTACCAGTAAAAAAAAATGACTTTCTTTCTTGCCTATCTCAGAGAATGGAAAAGTTGCCAACACGTTGCCAGAAATTTATTGATAGTAGTGGAGACTATATTGATTAAATAAAACAGTTGTTGTATTATTTAATATTTATAATTTACTTAAGGAAGAGATTATTGTTATTTACACAAAAAATAATTACTATACAAAATTATTGCCAAAAACGGAGAATAAAACTTTTCAAAAATAGAGTGGTATAAAATTGTTAAATAGAATAGAAAAAAAAATACAAATGTTAATAACACGCATAAAAAAAACAGGAGATAAAGGAAAAACATTAGGAAGGTAAAATAAAAAATTAATTGGAAATACATTTTAAACAAATATGTGTAAGCATTTTAAACATTAAATAATATAACAACTGTTCTATTTAATCAATATAGTCTCTATTTAATTTAATCACCAAAATGATAGTGTATACACACACAGCTCTAAAGAAGCCCAGGAAGTCATTGGAAGAGTGGAAAGAGGTCATCACCCTTCCTACGTGATGGTTTGGTGGGGAGTTTCCTTTGATGGCACCACAAAACTCCATTTTTGTGAAAAAGGAGTTAAAACAGCTGCTAAAAACTATCAAGACAATAGTTGCCATAAAGCACACTCTGACTTGGAAAGCCTCAAATAATCTCTGGTCCGAGCAGTTGAGCGCTTTTCTCAAGAAGTGCTGCATGCTGCTATTGATGACTGTCCACGGAGATTAAATGCCTGTGTCAAGGCAAAAGGGAGACATTTTGAGTAATTTCTTTTTTGTTTTACTCTCTATAGATATATATGAATGAAATGTAAATATATTTTATTATTTTGGGACTGTTGTACCGTTAGAATTAATTATAAGTGCTGAATACATATGTAAGTGGTCATAAATAGAATAGATATTTACAATATTGGCTATTTAAAAGTAAAATCCAGACGGAAAGAGAGAAAAAGATATGAAAAGCGTAAATATAAATATATAATAAGCGTACATAATACAAACAGAGAAAACTAAAATAACAGAAACATTTTCTGGGGGTAATTAAACAGCTCTCTTAGGTATATTTCATAATCAGGGGGATTGAGAAAGGAGTAGGTATTTAAAGAGGAGAGGTTTGAAAGAGGAAACTGATTGTGCATGTCGAATATCAGCAGGGATGGAATTCCAGGAGGCGGCTTGAATTGCAAATGATTTGTCAAATGCAGCAGTTCGGTGAGGAGGGGGATAGAGGTCGGATGTGCGAGATCTAGTAGGATGAAATTGGATGGAGTATTTAAATTGTAAGCTATGGAAAATATAGGATGGTCGATGAGTTCTAATCATCTGGTAGAGAAAGGTAGCTAGGAAGTACTGATGGCGATAGGATGGATAGAGCCACTTCAACTCAGTGTAATATTGGGTAATATGCGTATTTCTTGAGATTCCGAAAACAAAACGTAATGTGTAATTCATTAGGCGTTTAAGTTTGGCCTCGAGATCTCATGAGAGTCCACCGTACACCATGCAGCCATCGTCAAAGTGGGGGAAAATAAGAGAGGAAACTAGGAGTTTGGTGGGATTTACACAGAAGGAGATAACGTAGGCAATTGAATTGTTTAAGGGTTGAGATAGAGCGACGGGAAATTTGGGAGATGTGTGATTTCCAGGAGAGGGTTTGGTCAAAAGTAACACCTAGGTTTTTAATGGTAGTATGGAATAAGATAGGTGAGTTGTTCAGGAGAAGATTGAGGGATGCCGGGAAGGATTTGAGGAGTGCGGGAGATCCAATCAAGATGGCTTTCGTTTTCTTGATTGGAAAGGGGGTTTGATACATGAAAAAGCCTAAATTTTTAACATAAGGGTAGAAGGTGATGGGATGGTTATTTAGTTAAAGTGAAGGAAAGTTTGTACAGGATCTAAGAAGGGGATTGAAACCAAATCTCGTGCCAGCTGTTACATTTCGTTTCTTCTAAAATAGAATAGTGAATGGCTAATGATAATGGTTTCACCACCTTCTGGCCATCTTACCTCTTGACTGACTTTTACCAATATTATGCCTTTTAAGTTCTTTGACAACAGTTATTGCGGCTCCTGGTCTGTATAAACTATGTACATTCCAAGATCCATCACTCAAAGTGGAGGTCATTATCATGATCAGATATTCAAATTTTCTGAGGCTTCGTTTTGGTTTCAAAGTTTGTTTTTAATGGGATAGGGTTATTAGCCCTATGCGTAACACCCAATCTGGAGGACAAGGAGCAATGGTCTAAAACACATGGATCGGTCACCTTCCTGTGAATCTCTAGGTGAGGATATTACTGTCCCAATGCAGGACCCAAACCTACGCTGCAGTCATTGGGTGGCCTCTGCACATATTTATTTTAAATTATTTATTTTTAGTCAATATTTTTTATCTTTTGGTAATAGAACCCTGTGAACAGGATTTGAACTCATGATTTTTTTATTTCAATAAAAATCAAAACAAAAGGCCTCTACATATAGAGTGTATTTTTGCAGGGACCTTAACTAGCTCAACCACTGTGGACCCTATGGTATGATACATAGTAAATACATAAATGAGTTTAGCAAAGAGTACTTGTTGCTTTGAAGTACTAATAAAAGCCAAGATGACATCAAAGAAAATCAAGAGGAAAAAAATAAATAAATAAATAAAATTACCATTATTATCTTTGTCTACTCTGACAGAATTATGTGATCTACCATGAAGGTAGAAAGTCTTTTCTTGTTCAAGCTTTTCTAGTTCAGCTCTATAATAACAAAAATTAATTACAATGTTAGTAACTGTCTATATAAATTCATATAACAAATTTTTCCATTTCTATTTCTACTAATAAAAATAAAACAAAGCCGTTTAAAATTTGTATTACATACAATAGAGAGAAAAATGAAGAAGAAAAATAACCTATTGCAGAAAATAGTCCATTTATTTAACTTTGTGAAAAATCAAGATATAAATTGAAAGCAATGGGACATCCATGACCAACATTCATATAATTTTCGTTATAATAATAATTCCATTGAAAGCTATTAAAATCAGTACTTTAACGAAAAAAAATAAAACTAAAGAAGAAAAAAAAGTATGAAAAATTAAAATTTTAGGCACAAAATCCTTATTTTAGAGGCTCTCATCACAGAATGTAAAGATAGAAATAGAATAAGACAATTTTGTAGTGTTTTTGAAATAAAAAGGCAACTTGTTCAAACTTTTGAATCTAACTTGCTTTATAATAACACAAATTTACTCGATCTACTTTACTGGAAGCACCTTTTGGTTTTTGTAATTTAACCCACTTTAAACAGTTTTGCTATGTCCAATGACATTTCCGTTAGTCCTGACCCAAATGGTTAATTTAAAGACGTGGAGGAATTTAAATCTCAAATTAAGAAAGCGAGAAAATGTTTAACACTAAACAAACTGGCTTAGTAGTTATAGGAGACCGTGACTCTGACAAGAAAGCATTACTCCGCGGAGAACAAAATATTTCAAAACTTGGAAAGGTCTCCGAAACTGTCAAGCTCAGGAATCCACACGTGATAGTTAAAAGTGTCCCTAGGGGACTTCACATTTGAAAGGTTGCTCGAATGTATTTCGGCACAAAACGTGGAAATCGAACTAGGTGATCCCAAGGAGTGCACATTACCTTTTTACACAGGCCAGAAACTGAATCCACGAGTCAACATGGTACCTCATGTAAGCCTAAGACTAAGAAATTTTCTAGTATCCAGAAGGCAATTGTACTTGAATTTAGATATATGTAAAGTTGAGGACTTCAAAGAGGTGACTAGGTGTTTCCGTTGTCAGAGATTCGGGCCCGTCCAGTCTATTTAGAAAATTTGTAATCATGAAGAGCATTGCTGCCATTGTGGGTTACTGGGGCACGAAGTAGGGAATTGTCCAGGTTTGGATCAGCCACCAAAATGCACAAACTGTCAACGAAAACATTGATCGTCCTTTATTCGATGCCCAAGTCGGAGTGAGGCAATTAAATGGCTTATAAATCTAACTGACAATGGACAGAAACCTTAATCAATGCCCCTGCTGCGAAAGAAGATTTGGTACTAAATCTGGCTAGGGACTTCATACAAAGTGCAACTGTCACAACATACAAAGACGTCATACAACTGACCGGAAGAAGCAGTGCTGGACTGAAGAGGAGCTTATGATATTAGTGATCGACAAAGCATTACTTATGGTTCGGGGACCTGTCAGGATAACGGATTTCATCGAAATGTTACCTGGCCAAACCATGCAGAGTATACTATACTCCAGGAAAAAGAATAATATCAAGAGATTTTTCATAAAGTTATAGCAAACAATATCGAAAGAAACATTAATCCCAATTCAGCCATAATCGCAGATAGTGATACCATCAGTGCTAAGGAATTCTTGAAAGCAGCCAGAGATTTATACCAGGAATTGGCCGATCCAGACCCACTGTTAAAGATAGCTGAAGAAGACGAGCCTTTTCTTCTTCTTGGCTTAAAACATCGCTTCCCGGATGGAAGGCACCAGATACCAACTCCGTTGAATACGGAAAATGTTCATTGCCAGCTAATGATGAAGAAGGGAGGGTGGATTTCAGGAAGATCTAAAAACTGTGGGCAAGAAAGGAAGAAAGCGGTCAATGAGGTGTTCAACGGAACTTCTGCCCATAATAAGCACAGCATAGAAGAACTCAAAACCTTCTGGAGGCACTTGATGGAGAGAGCAACACGCACTAGAGTTCCAGAAACACCAATTCCTAACCAGAGCATGTTTACGTTATGGCTGCCGATAACTGTTGATGAAATTACATCAAGCAGCATGGACTGTAAATCTTTGGCGGATCCAGATGGTATAACAGTATGGCAGTGGTAGTCTGTTACCACTTTACACCGCGGTTATTTTCTATAATCTTTACCTTTCTAACCCACTCCTCCTGCCAGAACTTACTGGGACCCGGATTATATTCATACCAAAAGTAAATGATCCCATTGATCCTGGTGAATACAGACCTGTTACAGTCGCCTCAGTCCCTCTTAGGCAATTACACAAAATTATTGCAACCCGGATGAACGATATGGACCTACATCATGTAAACCAATGCTCATTTATCGCTGCTGAAATTTTTTTCTCATTACAATCACTAATAAATGATGCTAAAAATGGAAAAAAGGATATTCTAGTAGCATTCATTGATATTGCCAAGGTTTTTGACAATGTAAGCCACAACACAATTTACAAGATACTGGAATGGAAGAGCATTCCAGAAAGGTTGGAAAAAGTATTTTTTATGAGGACAGTGAAGAAGTGAAGCAAGGTAAGTTTTTAACAGAAATTTTTCATTTTATACAATTTATTTCATTAATCTTTACTTATTTAAATTTTGTTCAATAAAGTCATCATAATAAAATCTTCCAATATTTTAATTTTAATGAGAATTGTAAATATTTAATTTAATGTATGGCCACACAGGCATTTTTTCTGTATATATAATCTGTCCTAAAGTGACAGGATAATAAAAAAAAAATAATAATTTTCATTTCACTTTTAATATTAATGTATTTTGAACTTTACTAAAACTTATTAAACTTACACTTTATTTTCTTAAGCTATCTCCATAAAATGACAAGTATATTTGAAAAAGGAACTTATTCCAAGCGTCTCTTAATGCAATGAATCCATTAATTTATAGTCCTGGGCTTAATGACTACTTGTGGGGACTGTACAGTCAATGCCACACCCACATCACAGATCATTAATCCACTGTCCCCCAGTTTCTTTAATTTAGTTATGCAGATGATATAGCCTATAATATGAGAGGAACCATGGTAAATTGTCTCACATTTTCTGACGACTTGGTCTTGGTTGCGTTCTCATCTATTGGCATGAGAAAATTATTATTTAATGCTGCTTCATCTATTCATGATCTAGGCATGGAAATAAATCAAAACAAGTGCTTCAGCTTTTCTTTAGTCAAGGCCATCGGATCTGCTGTAACGAAGGTGGACAACAGATACTACTTCACCATCAATGGTAAGAATGTAAGACAACTAGGTATATTGAAGTGTTGGAAGTATCTGGGAGCAAAATTCAGTCTCAACTACAAGAGCTCAGTGGAGATAATGAATGAAATATCATATTTGCTGCAAAGAAAAACTATAGCCCCTTTAAAGCCTCAGCAGACATTGAAGGTTCTAAGAACCTACCTTATTCCAAAATATATTTATCTCCTCACATTGAGCCCCTAAAAAATGAGTGAGTTGAGAAAGCTGGATATTACAACAAGAGCCGCAATACGTTACTGCATACATTTGCCTCAGGATACTCCAACACAATATTTCCATTTCGCTTGTGCTGAAGGCGGTTTGGGGACGACAAGCTTCAGCATCACTATATCTCCGCACTCAAGCTCTCTAGAAGTCGCATGGAACATTCGGGTTGTCCAATAGCCAGGGCCGCCTACAATTCTTCCTTTATAACCAAAACCATCAGAGAGCTGTCAAGGAATCTTGCTAGGATGGGATTCAACCCTGACAATGTGTCAAGTGCCAAGAGGAAAAAAACTTATCCACGAGATGAAGTTACATTATAGTGTGGATGGAAGACCATTAAGAGAATCTAAAAACTGTCGTCCATCAACTAATTGGCTAACGGATTAAGTTGTTCCAGTAACTGGTCGTACATTGATTCATAACATCAGGACCCATATAAATGCCCTAGCAACTAGGGTCAGGATCTCAAGAGGCCGCAGGACCTATATGCAGACTCGTTGCAGATCAGGCTGCTCTGCTAATGAAAGGACTAGCCATGTAATCCAAAAATGCATCTTGTCGCATGGAGAGACAGTGGCGATATGAAACTGTGGTCAATTTTTTTGGAAACGACTTTTCAGAAGAAAAGTTAGTCTGATCAAAGAAAGGAGATTCATTGGGAGTAAACAAAGATGAAAGCCAGATCTAGTGTGCTCAACACCCACCTATATTATAGATGTGCAGGTTGTTGGCAACAACCCAAGTACTGTTCACTGGAACACAATTTAAGACAAAAAATACAAGGACTTCAACTGTAGGATGGCAATCAGACGTACACTGGATGTGATGGGAGTAGACATTAAAGTTCTCCTGCCCACGATAAGATGGAGAGGGGTATGGTGCCAACGTCCGTTCCAGGATATGATAATGCTAGGCATCCCTAAAAAGACAATGGATATGATCACAATTAGAGTCCTTAAGGGCTCTTATATGATCTACAGCACATGGTTCAGGCTAGGGAGCAGAGTGGCCGAATGGGCTAACACGCGTGCACAGCACCTCGAGTTGCCCGGCAACCAATAACCGTCATGAAAGATTAAAAAGTACGATTTGCGTCCCGGTGACGGAGGGAATTTTAAATTCCCCGCCCTCACCCCCTGGCTCAGAAAAATCCCGTATAGCCTAAAAGACAAGGTAGGGAAGAACGGAAAAAAAAAACATGGCTCAGGCTACTCTCCCGTTCATAATTGTAAACAGCACAGTCCTTACTTTTTACTTTAACCTTCTCTCTCTAACTACATAACAGAAAATTAATCAGCCTTGCTTTCCCTTACCACCCATTATTGGATTTGGAAAATAGATATTAACTTTTACTGTTTAGTTTTGCAATTCCCATTATCTTTTAGCATAGGGTATATGTACCTGAATATTTTGTTTTAAATAGTTTACTTTTAATCATATCTTATAAATTTTTAAATTTGTTTGACGAACTGTTATGATGGTAATTGTACCA